TATTAGCGGTTGAAAATTTTAAGTGGACTGGCGACAAAAAATAAAACTATTTCCTCTGGAAAAAAGCGCCTAGTCATTAATAATCAGTTAATGTTAAAAATGTAATGCTAATTTAAAATTATTTTAATAATACAGTTTAAAATTTGAACAGTTATATAAATATTAATTTGAATTATTTTAATAATTTAAAAACCTATTAACTGTGGAAAGAATGCTAAACATTTTTATTTAAAGAGAAAAAGTTAGACTTTTTTTATTAACATTTCTTTATAGTAAAGTGTAAAAGTTTAAAGTTTTATATCCCGATAAACTGTGATAGAAAGTGTGAATGAGCATTAATAGTGACAATTTGATTTATTGCAGCTCATAAGATCTTGACTAAGCTTATAAATGTGCTATTAATTTTATTACAGTAATGCAAGCTGTGATTACATCAAATGATAGTACTAGTTATCACATTATCAGTGAGGCAGTTATGCTATTATTCATAAAAAATCCCAAATTAACATACATTTTAAATGATTTGTTCAGATAGCGCATTTAGGGGATAAGTGTCATTAGAAGTCCGTCTCAGTTGAGCTGCCACACTCTTTTGTAAGCTCAATGTCTGAGTTAAACGAGTCCTTTTTTTGGCCAGGGTATCATGCAGGAAAAGGTAACTAAAAGTATCACCTGCCTGGGACTGCTACCACCACCACCTCTCCGACGACTGAAAGTCCACCCCACAATCCTGGCCAGCCCCTTGGCGCTCCACTTCAGCGCACACTCGAAAAAGCAGAGAAACACACACAAAAATGCAGACGGCAACAGTGCGTCCTGGTTTTTGATCCTTCTCCTGGTGCTGGCAGTCCTATTTCTGCTGCTGGACTGAAACCCGGCGCCGTGGTGGTGGATTTTAATGGGACGCTTTGGGTTAACTCGAAATTCTTTTGTTTTGCTTTCGCTGACTAACCTGGGCTAGGCTCTCGGGGTTGGCCAAATGCAGGTGGTCAGCCGAAAGGAGTTTCGGTGCATTATGGATTAGTGGTTGCCCCGTTCGCCCCCGGGTTCACTGACACACACCCGATCTCGAACAGCCAACTATCCTGATCCGCCAGCTGATCCGCTGGCCAGACGGAAAGCCCGACAAATCCGAGCCCAATCGCTTGTAAGGCTCTAAGCGTTTCGACACCTCCCGACATGACTGATGCGAGGACCCCGGCCCCATAAATGGCAACAAAGTGGCAGCAGCGTCAGCTGCCCCGGAACGAGACAGCGCATTTAATGGCTGATATCGCCACCTCCTCGGGGCCCACTGCCGCCCAGTTTGGCATATGGAGCAGCACTATTTAGGCTTCGATACGCTGCATTACGCAATGGTGTTAATTACCAACACACGGACACCAGCCTGCCAGGCAGCCAGTGAGTGGGAGTGGGACAGGGAGAGATATACCCGCCAGATACACACACCGATAGACGGATGGATAATCGCCGGCAAGCAACTGAAGCGGACTGGCGGCGGTGGAAAACGGTTAACCAAAGACGGTAGCAAAGCATTTAAAGCCATTTTCCATGGCGTCCCCAATAGAAAATCGTCCATGAAAAAGCTTAGATTTCAATGATTTTTAGTTGCAATGTAGGAAAGAGCTTCAATAGAGATATAGAGCTTGAATATATTCCAGTCCCAAAAAGGATAACCGCCGGCATATGTCATTTGGTCTGCATACTTGTATCTTTTTCGATCTCCGACACCCCCTCTTCTGGGGTAATTAACTAAAAAGAATAACCCGCTAGTCGCTATACTTTTAACCCCATGTGAACCGGCTCCGATACCGCTGGCAAGGGCGCAGGCGCAGGCGCAACTAATGAGCAACCCACCACCATGGGCCATGTGGTGTCCTGAACTGACTCCCCCACCCAACGGGCCATCGCCCGCCGGCTGGTCAGCTCGTTTGACCAACATTAAATTGTGCTGCGACTCAGGAATTTAGGTGAGCTGTGTGTGAAAGCGGTCCTGGCCATATGGTCGGCGGATAGGGAACCCGAAAGCCGGGCCCAGACTCTGGCGATGAAAACATATGGCGCAGTGGGCTGCGGTTTTCCAGAGAGCGATCTTCTGGCATGTGGGAATACAACAATTCAACAATTCCGAAAGGTAATTCATCAAAAATTTTACAAACTAATTTTGCAGCAAGGGGAAGCGAGAGATTGAGGAGAGTTACAGGGATGGTAATTAACTTATCTTGCTAAGAACATATAGAACAAATTTAGAAATTGAATATTAAATTACATAGAGAAAATATTAAGCTTTAAATAATTTAAGTAAAGAGAGTTACTGCAGTTTCCTGCATTAATTTTCCCCCAGTTTTACCCCTTAAAAACTCTGTAATTACCAACTCCCTTTGTAAAATTCTTCTACCTCCACCAACAAGTTTTGCAACTCAATCAAAGTACATAAAATACGAGCGCTTGAACTTTAAACCTTTTCGCAAAGGCTTCGGCACCAACAACAACAATTGCAACTGCAACATGGCTAATTGCAATTGCAACCGGCAACAGCAACAACAAAAAACATGGAACAACGACAAATGCAGCTTGAAAGGAGCATTGTAAAGGATACCAGCTGCAGCAATCAATAACTTGGATACACCACACAACAACAACAATTGCCACATAGAGAGCATAAACAACGAGCTGATAATCAATAAAGCAAAAGCAGGACTCATATATCCATAACAACCAACAAGTGGAACCCCAGCGGCGAGGGGCCAAGGCATTCCAGGGGTCGGGAGTCAGGACGAACTTTGACTACTTGTGGTAATGGCCAACCACTCTCAGAAACGGATGCAATGGCTCCCAATTAAACCGTGCACCGAAGTGATTCCATTTAACAGGAAAAGAGAAAACGGAAGAACAGGCAAATACCACAAATTCCTAGATCTGGCAGATACTTACAACAAGCTTAAGGAAATACAGACTAAAAAATTGTGTTACCAACTTATAACTTTACTTTAAGTTTACAAATTAGATAATGTATGTAAATTAAAACATTTTAAAAACTAATTATGTGCCAATAAACGCATAATAATTTCGCTATAATTCTTTATAGCTTGCTGTAAAGTATCTTTTTTGTTCTGCTTCCATTTTGATACCCATTATTCCATTCCAACTTTTTATTGCTGAAAAATTCGTGCCTTCAATTGAATAGATAAGTTCCTAATAAAATATTTGCACGCGAGGCTCAAACTTGGCCAAATGTTATAAATAAACTGCACTGCCTGCCCATGCGTCGTATGCGTAATATTCGCAGTAGTGCGGGGCCGAGGAGCATAAAACAAAGGGCAGCTGCTCCCGGCCACTTATGAGCTCTATTAAAATGTTGTAAAAAACAGCAGAGCAGAGCTAGCTGGAAGCTCTTGAGAGCACATTTTGATCAGTTCATTAAAAAAATTTAAAAAATAAAAAAAACTATGATCGGAGGGGTGCCGCAGAGCTCGGCACCCTAAAAAGAGTGCGGCCTCGACCTGCCCCTCGGTTAATTGCAGGTGTGCATTGCAGCAGGGAGAGGCAAGGTGACAATTTTGCGTCAGTCGAGCGCGGCAGAGTTCGGTGTCAGCTCCGAGCCAGGCCCACAGTCAGGGTCCAAACGGGGTGGCACTACGAAAGCCCCGCTTTTTTCATTTTGCCAACTGCAGTAAAGTGTAATTGTTTTTTGTATTTTTTTTTTTCCTTTTTAATTTTTGTATTAAGCTAGAAGGAACCGCGAATTATGTGACTGCCTGTCAATGGTGAAAAGAATTAAGTGGAAGTTCTTACTCAGCGATTTTAAAGGAAAGAGGTTTTTCTATATATACTAATTTAAGTTCCTTACAACAAGACATTGATGTTTATTATAAAAAAATATTGGAGTTAATAAAGAGTGAATATTTTGTTTGGTACAAACATATTATAATAAAACGACTAAAGTATGATCTAAGCTAAATACGTTACTTAAATAGGTTTTAAAACTATTGAAATAAATGTGTACACAACTCGTAGCTAATAAAGTTAATCAGAAAAAGAGTTATTTCCCCATTTGCATTCTCTATCTTGTTTTCTAAATCGATCCTCATTCCTCGCTTTAACACTGATAATGCATCGCTAATCGATTCAGCTTTTAGCTTCTGGTTTTCCTCGTTCTTCAAGGCTACATGGCCGTCCGATGATGCACTGCAGCTGATCTGAGCGTTTCGATCGGAGAACCTTGATTATGGGGGTCGCAACATTAGCGCATGGAGCGCAACCAACTGATGGTGGGCGTGGCTGGAGCGGCATATTTACCAGAGTTGCTCGCGGTAATGCGTGTCTTCTTGTATATTTATATATTGAAAACATCATGCTTGGTGCTGCTGCAGCGGCTAAGTACACAAAATTATCAGAAATTATGTGCACCTTGGGTCAGGCAGATTCCGATCTCCCCCAGCGAACAGCCCGGGGGAGCGGCCATCATCATCATCAGCACGGTCATCATGGTGATCATGGCCATCATCATCTCCATCGACTGCTCGGCTACTGTAATTTCACGGTAACCTGCCACGGCATGCATAATGCAAATCAATTTGCGGCGTAGGGCGGCCAAGGGGATTCCCCCGGCCCGAGGGCCAAGTCAAAAGAGTCAAGAGTCAATGGCGAAGGTGATTTGTCAACAAATGCCCTGCGGATCATTAATAATCGAATCGAGGAATGGATTCAAGACCAGTAGCTGGCGCAGGAGATTGATAGAGCCACGAGCGGCTCGTCAGCGGGTGGCGCCACAAGGTGGCAAGTGGGTAAGTGGCAAGTGCAGCCAATCGCAGCCACTCACGCGCATTGATTGAAATCTTTCAGTAATAACAGAGCCCCAAACCGCGCGTCCTCTCTTCCAACCTCCCGCTGCGCACTTGTATTTGCATTTGTATCTGTATCTGATTCGCTGGCTGTATCTGTATCTGAATCTTTGCACTGGGACTGGGACTAAGACAGGGACTGTTACTGGGACTCACCTCTTGCCGTTGCGTCGCCTGCGCTTGGTGGCGTAGACGGTGCCCAGCTGGCTCATTGCTAGGGCGGAGTTCGTTATGGTCGCCGTGGTGAATGATTTTTACTCTTATTATTTTTCGTATCAATTCTTTCGCTGTCTTCTGGCCCCTTGCTTGTCTCTTGTCCAGCAGCTTGTTTTCCCTCCTTCTTGTTTCTTTTTTGTATTATTTTGTAATTGGTTTTTATTTATTGATTTGGCTTGCTCTGGGAACACTCACACACACGGACTCGCGCACAGGCGCAGCCAGAAGCCGGGTGCGATCAGATCCGGAGAGATCCTGCTGCGGATTTCGGTTTCGGCTTCGGTTTGGGAGTCGCAGACACGCGTAAATTTCGTTTCTTCTTTGCCTCTTTGTATTTTATTTTTAATTATCATCACGCTTACATTTTGTTTGCTTTTTCATTTCTCGCGCTTCTTTTTTATTGCACTGTAGTTTCAGTTGGATGGAGCTATATGGGGGATTCGATGGGAAACTCGGATTTAGCAATTGAAAAAGGCTGGGAATTGCAATTGGCCAAGCACTTCAAATATTTGCAGCATTACGGATTGGGATCAAGATTTTTCCAATAAAAACTTTACGTTTTTAAATGGCCTTTAGATTTATTTTTGATTTGAACCAGATTGAAAGATTAATGGGTATTAAAATATTTCAGATTGTGGTATGGTTTTCTTCGTAAATAAATCTAGGAGAAATAAAACCCTAAATGGCAGGAAATTTATTTAAGTTAATATTGAGATTTTAATAAATTAGGTTTGTGTTCAAGCTTTTGACTATCAAAAGCAGGCAACATCTTAAAATATTTATTATTACTTTGATATTTTATTTAAAAACTTTAATTGTTAAAGTTTCTAAACAAAGACGATCAATAAGGTTTAGTTACTCAACTAAACTTTAATTAATTATACAATTTCTCTGAGCGTTGAATTATTATAATCAGTGTGCAATGAATTTTTACTCAAAAATCCAGCTTTACCCAACTCATAAAATAACTCTGAAATGCCGTCGGCTTGAAAATATAACCCACAAATCTTTATAAAGGATAATAATTTCCTTTTGTGGCATTTCATAACAATTTCAAGTGATATAAATTTAATGAAAATAATTTTAAATGATGTTAATTTACAATCAATAGTAGAAACTCATATCGTTTAAACTTCTATTAAAATATTTAGCTGATTTTATTAGAATAATAAAAAAGATTGTGTAATTTAAAAAAGATGTATTACATTTATAAATATTATATTATATATATTTATTTTTTTAAAGGAAAATTTAAGCTGATTTGTTATTTGATTTTTCAGAATTTAGATTGAATACTATTTTGGAAATTTATAACATAAAACATTGCTGTGTATCCTGTCAGTCTTGAATGCTAGTTTGAAAGCTACTTCAAAGTTGCAACAAATTCATTTGGCATTTCCCCCCTAAAAAATATCCTTTTTCAATTGCTTTTCAAATTGGCTCTTGTTGTTATTTTAATTCCGGCAGCGCCAATTTAGTAAGTTTATTGTTTTGGTTCTCATTTTCTTTGGCAGCACTTTTGCTTTTTCACTTGCACTTTTCAGCGGAATTGTTGATGTTGCTGTTGTTGCTATTATTGTTGTTGTTAGTGGTGTTTGGGTGTTGTTGGTGTTGTTGTGGTTGGGCTTTGGTTTATCAATGGGCGATGGCGATGACGACGCATGCAACGGAGGAAATCAAAATCGGCACGGAATAAAAAGCGCTAACGCAAGAACGGCACGCAAATCATTTGCGGCACGATCGACGCCGGCAGAGGCGCCAGCAGCAGAGGCTAGCTGTCAAAGTGACATTTTGGCACGCACACACTCGCACACATGGGAGCGTGGGAGGAGCAAGGAGTCAGGTGCCAGGAGGGAGCGAATGACCGCCGGCAGTCTGCACTTGCACTTGTCTCTTCGCTGCTCGCTTCCTTCCGGCGCCTTCGTCTTGCCGTTGTTGCGTGAGCTTGTCTAGAACTTGCAGCAGCAGAGCGGTGTTGCAGGTACAGGGTATCGCGTGCTGCGTTTCGCTTTTGCTTCTCCGTCACTTTTCACTCGCACACACACTCGAGCACACACGCACCTTGGCGGGGATCTGGCGACGGCGAAACAACCGTTAGGGAGCAGCGGCCACGTTCAAAAATCGAAATCGAAAAACCAACTGAATGAAGTTGGCAGGCTGAAAACGTGAATCAACTGGAAACAGTGTTCCACTGCCAGAAATAAGCGGAACGCAGGCATTTGAAACGAAACACTCGCGCTCCACCTCTCTCGCTCACACTTTGCCCCACCACTGGGTGGCTCACGTTCCCTCCCTTTCACTCAGGCTTTGGCTTTGGCTCTGGCTCTGGCTCTCTTTCGGGCGCGACTTGGCTGCGCTGCGCTACGTAAACGCTGTGGGATTGGGATTCCAATAGCAACTGAACGGCGCTCACAGCGAAACGAAAACCAGTCCTGGCGAAACACTGCGGAATCGGAACGCGGGCTTAGTGTGTTGTGGCCTGCTTTCCAGTCGTCCTGGCAACACGAGCGATCGCGTGGTGGTGCGGCCGCGGGAGCGAGAGGGAGAGTACGGTGTTCCATTGTCAAACGTTCCGCCGCTGCTGCTGTCGATGTGTGCGTGCCTGGAAGGAAGCGACCAACCAAGGCAGCCATCGAAGCCGCATCTCGCTCTCGCTCACTCGTTGCGCTCAAGCCGGCAAGGGGGCGTATACTCACTCACACGCGTTAGTGCCAGCTCTTTCCATCGCACAGCCCTTGCCAGACGAGATTTCGGCGATTCATCGCTCATCTCTTAATTAATTAGGCGGTAATTAAGTGTTATCAGTCCCCGCTATCACTCAATGGCATCGCCACCCCTCCCTTTCCATCGCTTTCGCTCTCCGTTGTTTTTGTATTCGAACTTTTTTGAGTCAGTTTTTCTTAGATTATCCCTTTTGCCTGAAATGCAAATTTTATTTGGTGTGACTAAAGCCATTAAGTCCATAAACATGAGCACTCACTTCGCGCTTATCGCGAATGATTTATTCACGTGTGCCACATGACAGCAGCAACAAAGGCAACCAGAACTGAGAGGCCGGCCAAGAAACCAGAAACCAGAACAAGAATCATATTCGCACATCTTCTAGGCGGCCAAAATGTCCGCACTCAAGCAGCCCATTGCACTTGGATGCGGGCTCAGACACAGAGGGTTATGTCTATGTTTTGGCCATATGCCGCTTCCGCCTTTTAACCGCAAGTCACAGATGGTTCTCGACGTTTTGTTCTGTTTTGGCATTAAATTCTCACCGGTACATATACTATAGTATTTCTATAATATTCTATAGAATGCTACCATATTATTTAGATTAAAAACAGTACCAAATTCTTAGGTACAAATATTATTTAATCAACATGGCGTATACGTGATTTAAAAGCTTTATTCCAGCACTAATACAGTTGAAGAAGTTGGAAGTATTTTTAGTGTTTAACCAAATTGTAAATAAGATCTAGAAAATATAACTTAAATAATTATAATATAATATAAAGCATTAAATAAATAATTAATATTATTAATGCTAAAAAATAAAAATTAAGGTTTTCTTAAAATAAGTTTATTTTTCTAACCGAGTATTTACTGTACCTCTTATTCGACTCCAGGAGGGGATTCCCTTGCCCTTTTGGTCAAAGAATGCAGCTCCGTCAATTATGTACATTGCGTGCAAGTATTCAATGCAAAGTTCCTAGTCTTGAGGCAGACGAACCAAATGTTTATCTAGCTAGTAGGCGAGTCTCCTGCCCAAATCCAAGTCCCACTAAACCAACGAAGGACAAAGGAGCCCAAGAAGCAGAAAGAGATGCTATGCCCCGACTGAGCAAAACAGAAGGCAGCTCATGTCAATCGCTGGCACTAATAAGTGCGAGTGGAGAAGCCAAGCTAAGGGACGAGGAAGTGAAGTAACCAGTTTACTTGCCCCTTGCCGCATTTCCCCCATTTCCCACCTTGCGGCTTATCAATTTACGCTTCAGCTTCAGTTTCGGTTTCAGGGAGATGGGCGCGGTGCAGGTGCATTTCCTCGCCTTCTTCAGATCACTCAGCTTATTGCACTGCCTTGTAGTCCTTATCGCTTGTGGGTACAGTAGGTGCTTGATATAAAGAAAGGAATTTAAGGATAATCTTAAAGAGGAAAAAAAGAATCAAGTAGGTTTGGTTTCTATGGTTTCTGATCCAACACTTACTTCTTGTTCCCAAAAAGCTATCATCGTTTTATGATTCCCCAAGTTCCATATTTTTTTATAAATATTTATTTGAACGAAATTCGTTATAGTTTTTAATTATTGTCCTTAAGCCTCCACTGTACCCTGTTATTATTTTATTGGCGGTGCTTGTTGTTCGCTGCTCGCATATCAATTTCGCGCTGACGTCCCTCGCCCCAGCAGGGACTTATGTGTGTGCTTTGTGGCAGCGGTTCCCCTCAATCCTGGAACTCCCTGCCAGCCTGCCTAATTTTGTAACAAGTTTCTTATTAACTCGTTTTTTTGCTCGTTGTCTGTGGCCAGCAGCTGCCCGGTCACATCAATGTCACTGCTGATCGCATCTAGACAAGCACTCCATATAGATCTATATAATTTGCCAATTAAGTAGGGGATAACCCTCCCCGGTATCGGGGACTGACTGACAACATTAGCGGACTGAACAAATACTTTTTGCGGTGCTCCGCAACTAACCAGTCAAAAAAAAAGGTTCATATGAAATTCCACAGAAGAAGGGAAGACCGTAATGCATTTCCCCATAATGTTTACTCCGATCCATTGGCGGCGCCAATTAAATATAATTATTCTATGAACATAAACAACAGCGTTGAGCTTAAAACAAGGCAAAGCCATAAAGACTAAATGTAAACAAAGTGCAATCTATGCATACTCTGTTCAACGGTGCTTGTAAGGTTTATTCGACAAGGAAAATGGTGTAAAAATGTTAACTACTGGTTTTTCTATGAGAGCCATTCCGGGGGAAAAAAAATAACCTAACTAGGCCTTTAAATTAGGGTTCAAATTAGGTTTAGGCTTAACTGTTTTATTACGTAAAATATTTATAATGATTTTGTGTTATATTATCAGCTAAATATTAAAATATTCATAGAAAAAATGAGTTAATAGGGAAAACGACAAATGGAAAATTAAATGCAATGTAATTTAGTAGTAAAAAGGTGTTTATAATAATATAAATATTAATTTGCAAAGTTCTTCTTCGTTGCTAACAACACACTTTGAATATAAATAAAATTTTACCAAGAGTAATTGACAAATTATAAGCAAATTCACTGGGTATTCACTGATTCAATCACCTGCCTTTGCAATGCCAAAACAATCAGCGCCAACGGGCTATAAAACGATGTTTACATTTAAAAAAAAAAAATGCAACTGACCAACCCAGTGTTTCAGCCAATTCCCACCCCCAATGCCGCCTGCCTCCGTCGCCGTTGCCACCGGACTGATAAGTAGCCGCAATTATAATTGCCGTTTGTGGCAGGCCAAAAATGGCTGCCTTTGTCAAACGATAAAACACTCGCCCACAAACACACATGGTGTGCATACACACACACACACACTATGAACACGACTAACAAACAAGTCGGCACAAAAATGTCATTTTAGACAGAAAACAGAACAGAACCCAGCACACGAACAACAAAAAGCTGAAAAAATGCAAACAATGGCCGCCAGCAGCAGCGGCTATAACAACCCGCGATCAATTGCGCGAGATAAGTGGACAACGCTGCCACCACCAGTTAGTGGTAGTACCATTACCACCACTACGGAAGGGCGACGACCAACCCAAGTGACTCCGGGTGTCCACCTTCCTGTCGCCTCCTGTGTTGCCCTTGCATCGCTGACATATTTCAGATTGAGCCCTGTCCCCCACACTTCATCCGGAAAGGCAGTTGTATATTTATTCACATTATATTTATTTCAGGGATTCACTTAGGCATGAGTCAAGGATATGTTTAGAATATGTATTTCTTAATTTTGTACAAAAATTGAGGAATTAGCCTATAAATTTGTTTATAATATATTCTTATACATTAAATAAGAATATAATATAATTACTTTTCAAAATAAACAATACAAAGTAGGACGTTTAGATTATAAGATACTATAGTATCTTTAGATGGTTTCAAACCGCATTCAGTTAAACAAGATTGTGGCTGTTTAAGATGTTTTTTTCGAGGTATTATAGCATTTATAGATAATCTTGTATAAGCAGTTTAATACTTTAAAGCTGTTAATATACAAAAGATATAAATATCCACTTATTGTTAACATCTTGCTGTCGTGGCTATATGGCCTCTGTGACTCTACATTTGTAGTTAATGCCAAATCGATGTGCTGCCTTCTAACCCGAATGTCTAATTATGCGAATGTCAATCTTTGTCGGCGGATTGGGGCTTCCTTGATTCGGGATTCGATTTCCGATGGCCTGGCCGAGATTTTCCAGCGAATGCCACAGACCAAACACAATATGATTTACGAGTCGATGCGGCTAACGGATACGAGACGAGAGTCGGGGCTGGGGAGCCAGCTTGGTCTCGGAATGGTCAAGCGGTATCTGAAACAGTTAATCGGCAGCAAAATTAATAAATCCGTTGAGTTTAATAGAGTTCAAACAGCGAGGAGAACGCACGGCGCACAAAGCGAAAGGCCTGGTCAGTCACCGATACGCAGTCCCAGTCGAAGTTGCAGTTTTTACCTGGATCTCTGAGGCTGAAAGCTGGAGCTAAAGTTGGAGCTGGAGCTGGAGCTGCCTTTGGGGTCAACGCCGCTGAGATGTTCCCAGAAAGATCAGCAAATGAAGATCTCAATGGGCAGGCCGAGCTGGCTGGGCCATTCGACTGGCTGCTCCTCGTCTAGGCCATGCGCTCGAATAAATTCAATCTAAATTGTAAGTTTGTTTAGCTGGAGGAGCTGGAGGAGGCCGGGCAGGGGCAGCGGTGCAATAACAATAATAATAATAATGCAGCCAAAAGAAAGAGAGATGTTCGTTCGCAGGCCGCCGCCGAACAAACCAAATTAATCGACCGGACTCGACTCCGAGTCGTAAGTCCCAAGTCCCAACAAAAACCGGCCAGCCAAGCGCCTCTTTAGAGCCCAGCAACAAACAACAGGCTCAACT